CAATTTGCTAATCCATGGATGAATAAACAAGAATTAGTATATCCACACAGTGGAATCTGATTTGGCCATAGGAAAGAAATGAAGCACTGATATACCTGCTACAACATGGATGAAGTCTGAAAATATTATGCTAAGTGAAAACAGTCAGACACCAAAGGTTATATATTATAAAATTCCATTTATATGAAATAACCAGAAAAGGTAAATTTTAGAGATAGAAAAGTGGTTAACAGAGGCAGGGAGAAGAAGAGAATGGGGAGCATGTGGTTACACAATATTGTGAGTGCACTAAATCCCACTGTTCACTTTAAAGTGGTTAATTTTATATTATGTGAATTTCATCTCAATAAAAGAAATTTTAAGCAATTTTCTTATTGTAGAAAAATTCAACCATAAAAATATAGTAAAAAATTTCAATTTCTTCTCCCAGCTGTTTTCCTCTCCATATCCAATCCCACTTCACATGTACACCTTCCAATTAAATATTCAATATGTAGTAACTGTTCACACTTTTTAAAGTTTTAGAACATACAAAGAGATACATGTTTCTTTCTCTCCCAAATGTTTACTGAACACTTTATCCAATTGCAATGTTGTAGATGACGGGAACACAATAGCGAATAAAACAGACAGGGGGAATTAATGTTCTAGTTGCAGGAGATTGGTAGTAAACATGGGAATGAATAACTTCAGATCATGCTAACTGCTATGAAAAAATAAGACAGGGTAAGAGGGCAGAGTGATGTGGGTTGGTGGAGGGCAGGGTGGCTAGGGGAGACCTCTGAGATAAAGACACAACATTTGAGCTGAATGATAACAAGGACCTAGAGAGTTGATGATGCAGGAAAAGAACATACCAGGGAGAGGAAAAAAATAGGTACTTTAAAAGAAATTGGATTGTATTAGATGCATTGATCCACTATATATTGTACACACACTAGATATTGTGCTTTTCTCTGACTTTACCATGTATTAAAAATGAATTTCCATGTTGGCACCTAATTTACTTTATGCTTTTAAAATATATGTTTTTATTGATCTCAGAGAGGAAGGGAGAGGGAGAGAGAGAGAAACATCAATGATGAGAGAGAATCATGGATCAGCTGCCTCCTGCACGTATCCTACTGGGGACCAAGCCCACAACCCGGGCATGTGCCCTAACTGGGAATCAACGGTTACCTCCTGGTTCTTAGGTCGATGCTCAACCACTAAGCCACACAGGCCGGGCTACTTTACTCTTTTTGATAGCTACATATTATTCCATAATATTGATATAATATCACTTATTTAACCATTTCCATGCTAGTGAAATTTAGGTTGTTTCCAGTTTGGAGCTATTGCAGAAATGCTGGAAATAGATTTTCACAGTTGTGCTCATATTTCTGTAGAAACATTTCCAGGAATGGGACAGCTACATCAGTGTCCATTTGTGTTTTCACCCACTAAAACCCTGGGAGAGGCGTGAGTTTTCTTAGCATCCTCATGGTTGGAAGCATGAAAGACAAACTCTTAGATTGAAAAGAACAAAAGAAAGTACTGTGTAGTTGACTAAAACGGATAAATTCAGTTTAAAGGCAGAATAACTAATGAAGGCTAAGAAGACAGCAGAGAACAAAAGTGAGAGACCATTAGGAATGCCAGCAGGTGGAATTTGCAACGCAAGGCAGGAATTATCTGTTGTGAAATGGCTCAGAACTTGAACTGAGCATAGCTTTATGAAGAACAGCTGTTGTTAAGCTCACCCTGTGTGTCACAAAGAATAGCATAATGTCCTTGGAAAAACTTAAAGTTGATAGTCCTGCGTCTCAACAGCCCTAAATGAGTTCTTTTAAAAAGGCAGTACCATCCCAAACTCACTATTGCTTTACCCATTCATTCATTAAACATTTATTAAGCTTCAATGCCATTCTACTCAGCATTGGGAATAAAAAGATGAAGAAAAGACCCTGACCTCAGTTGCTCAGTCTTAGCTCAACGGTAATTATTAAGAAGAGCTTCTGACTGTCTGGCTGAAGCAGTGCCTCAACCCTGGCTGGTCAAGGCTTTTGAAAACCAATGGAGTGGATTCTTTCCTGAATATCCATAATTATTCTATTCAGGGATATGCAAGTTAAGGACATCAACTGCTTTTCTAAGCTGCAGTCTTAGCAGTTTCTGTCTTTGTCCCTGGGAAAAGCACAAGGTACAAAGAAACTTTAATGTAATTAGATGTGAAGAATCGACCCATCGGAGCGATCATCCAGTGCCCTATGGGTGACACATCTTGAAGTATGGTATCCAATGACAAGGTGGTGGGAGGACAGAGTAGTTCACTATTTGAGTCATCTGCTTGTATTGACAATTTCTTAGGAACAGGTTGGGGAGTGCAAATCTTGAGTGAGAAGGCACTTCATTTCACACACATTGTATTTTCTTCTAGTGAATATAAGATAAAAATATTTATCAATCAATAGCAATGCAGGTCTCCTATGTAGGTTCTCTGTAAATCTGAGGGCAATCAATTAATACCAACTTTAAAATGGGACACTTTTAAGAAACATACAATTGGGTCTTCAGAGAACTATATTAGGGTGTAACCAGAACTTTGTATTAATCAGAGGAATACATTATTTTTTTTGGGGGGGGGAGGCGGGGGAAGTGTCCAAAAGATTTCAGGGAGCATGGACCACAGACCTGACAAGAAACTTGTTATAATGGAGGTATCTGGTTTCTTTACATTTTCCAAATGTTATGGGTTAAAGCAAAAAAGCACACAGAAAATTTGCTAGTTTAACATTAAACACAATTTCAAACCACATTAATGTAGAACTTGTTTTGAAAGGTAACTGACAGCTTTGTTTTTGACCTGTCTCATTAAGGTGAGTTCTTTTTAAAAAAATAAAATCTTTATTGTTGCAAGGCATTACATATGTCTCCCTTCCCTCCCACTGACTTCTACTAGCCCACCCGGAACCCCCACACTCCAGGGCTTCACCACCCTATTGTCTGTGTCCACGGGTTATGCATATATACATACAAGTTCTTTGGCTGATCTCTTCCTTCCACCCCCACCCCCCTTCCCTCTGAGGTTCCTCAGTCTGTTCCATGTTTCTGTGTGTCTAGATCTATATTGTACATCAGTTTATTTTGCTCATTAGATTCCACATGAGTGAGATCATATGATACTTATCTTTCTCTGACCGCTTATTTTGCTTAGCATAATACCATCCAGGTCCAGCCATGTTGTTGCAAATGGTAAGAGTTCATCTTTTTACAGATGCATAGTATTCGATTGTGTAAATGTACCAAAGTTATTATTTTTAATTTTTTTTACGATATATTTATTTACTGATTTCAGAGAGGAAGGGAGAAGGAGAGATAGAAACATCAATGATGAGAGAGAATCATTGATCAACTGCCTCCTGCATACCCCCTGTGGGGATTGAGCCTGCAACCCAGGCATGTGCCCTTGGCCGGAATCGAACCTGGGACCCTTCAGTCCGCAGGCTGATGCTCTATCCACTGAGCCAAGCCGGCTAGGGCCCATAGTTATTTTTTATCCACTCATCTGCTGATGGGCACTTGGGCTATTTCCAAATCTTAGCTATTGTAAATTGTGCTGCTATAAACATAGGGGTACATACATTCTTTCTAATGGGTGTTTCCAATTTCTTAGGATATATTCCTAGAAGTGGGATCACTGGGTCAAACTGGAATTCCATTTTTAATTTTTTTTTGAGGAAACTCCATACTGTTTTTCACAGAAGCTGCCCAGTCTGCATTCCCACCAGCAGTGCACTAGAGTTCCTTTTCCCCACATCCTCACCAGCACTTGTTTGCTGATTTGTTGATAGCCATTCTGAGAGGTGTGAGGTGATACCTCGCTGGCATTTTGATTTGTATCCCTCAGATGATGAGTGACTTTGAGCATTTTTTCATATGCCTCTAGGCCTTCTGTATGTAAGCTGAGTTTTCTTTTGTCTTTACATGCATTTAACACATATCTAGATCTAGATAAGGTTAAGAAATACCTAGTCTCTGTGTATCCATGCCTTTATTCTTTAAATAGATTAGGAGCACTTTGTCTAGACTCCTTGCAGAAAAGTATCAGCAATATGTTTTTCTCTGCTTGGACATGGGTGAATTACAGGAAAACTTAACGGGTCCTCAGAGTTATTTTCCTACTTCATACAGTTGTGTCGAAGTATTTATCTTTTGTTTTTTTTCTTTTCACATGCTTATCTAAACGCAACCTGTCAGCGTGAGATGCAGTCAACAAAGTACCGAGAGTAAACTTGAGCGAATCCGACCATTCAAAATAAAACCACGTTAATGGAACTAATGGTGCACAGAAGAAGCTGGACGTACCAAAATAACCCTATTAGTTGGGTACAGTTGGGTACACCAAGGAATGCGGCAATCCTCCGTTTAATTTGCAAAGTCCTTGGCCGGAGGAGGAGGGGATGGAAAAGTTTGGGTGAAGGATTTAAACGACTAGTCCAACAGTGAGTCATTGAAACTTTCCAGTTAATAATACCCTCTGCCGGGGCAGAGCCTGGGCCCGAGCGCTTTACGAGCCACATCACAGTTTAAGTTGTAATGTCTCACGGTTTTACTGCCTCTTCCACCAAATGAATACATAAAATGAAACGCGCTCTGCGTCAGCTTTGAAATGCAAGAAAAAATCTGGCTGGGGGAGGGGAGAAGGAAGGGGGAAAGAAAGAGAACAGGTAGGGATTCAGAGAGGCAGAGAAGGCGGTGAAAAGGAAGGAATTTCCAGGAGCTGAGAGCTTTCCCCCGCGTCCTGTGCCTCACAGGACGCGTGGACCGTCGTGCAGACTGAGACACTCGCCAAGCCGCGCCAGGACTCGCCTCGGTGACCCCTGCCCCCACTCCGTGACAGGTGGGGTCGCTGAGCCGCCACCAGATCGCAGCTTCCTCGCGCTGCCTGCCGGGAGCCCGAGCCGCTTCCGGTTGCTCCGGACCCCAGAACTTCGACTCCCGTCAGCCCCCGGGAAAACCGCAGCGGGGTCGCGCGGACGCTGCCGGAACTCGTAGTCCAGTCTTCGCTGCGCTTCATAGCCGGAAGCGGGGACGCACAGGGCCGGGAACTACCAAGGCGAAGGTACGGGTGGCGGCGAGGGGTCAACCCGTGCCGGGCGTGGGGTTGGCGCTGAGGCTGTCGGAGGTGGTTGGGGTTGGGTGGGAGGAGATCCGCTCG